ATTTACAGAAAGCGACCTAAGAGGATTTTTTATTTCATCCAGATGACAGTTTCAAAAGTCATACTTGAAGTCTCGTTACTTAGCAACTTTAAAGCACGTGTGTTTTAAAGGCCCTTTTTCGCACGCATTTGAGTGTTTAAAACGGAGATTGTGATTCAGGTATAATAAAAAAAGTTTTATATATCTGCAGGATAGCGTCGATGAAATATATAAAACTTCAGCTTCGTTTGCCTATCACTAGTGGCGCTAGAGTAGCCTCAAACTTGCCAACAGCGGCCAGCGTTTATTTGAATTTGAACAGCTGATCTGCTACTTTTCTTCACATTCGTATTTCGGTTTGCTTTTATTTAAATGGGTTGTCGATAGTTGTTTTGAAAATGGATGTCGAGGAATTTCTAATAAAGTTGGTTCGACATTACGAGGAAGCAAACGCATTTCGGCAACTTAACTCTGACGTACGAATTTTATCCGAGCATGTCCATAAATTAGAAAGTAACTGCCGTGCATTAACAATAATTTTAATACAACATTCATCTAATCATCTTCAGCAATTACTTATAAGAATTTATGAGATCAATTTCAACTTATACTTATAGATCAATACAATTCTACAAGATGGCAAGTATAATATACCTACATGTATTCCTTTTTTCGTTTTATATGGGACTTCTCAAAGTTCATGTTTGATATTGATTTCTAGATTTAATGGAACCTGGAAATTGTGACGTTATTTTCTTTACCGTGTAATCTTTGCTTTGGCTTACATTTGAATTACTATGTGGAATCCTTCTCGAATAACATTATGCGAACTTCTTACCTTTATATAGCAATCCTTACGCCATCTAGGTGTTCACATTATAACCCGATCCTTTATTTGCGATATAATTTTCTTTTAAAAAACCTTTTGTCTAGTTTTCTGTTGATTGGCGCGGTTATCTTCTCCCACTCACTGTCGACGCGCGCAGTCCTTGTTGAAGAACTCGATTCGATCTTGACTTGTATTTGAGCTACACGCCATTACACTTACTTGACATATTTGTCTACCTTTATGGGATTAAATAGTGGTGTTGTACTAAGATTAGTGAAGTTTTCTCTTATCATCTTACTTCCAATTTTGCGGATTTATCTTACAAGTTTTAAGGCCGTTTTGCGGTATGTTATCTATGACGCTTTATCTTTTTATTTGAAATAATCTATTCTAGGCTTCTTTCGTACCCCCTAAGTTTTCTTACTTATTAGTTTGGTTTTACCAATTGCTTCCTGACTGTACATTGATATTTTGACGTGGAAACGCGAATACCCGATTTTCCATATGGTGCAATAGAATTCCATTGAAGTTTCAACGCCATTACAATCAAAAACCCTCTACATATTTCTACCTTACCGACTGAAGAATTACCGCCATTTCATGTGAAACCGATATTTGAACTGATGCCCCAATTTTACGAAGTTCGTTGACCTACGATTCATTCCTCCGAAACGCAAGTACTTAATTAACGAGACGTGTGCAGTTGGTACTGTGTAAATTTTTAATTAACGTTATATATTTTGCTTTGAAGAACTTGCTCGTGTAAGTTTGTTTGCATTTGAATTGATAAGATTGCTTTGTCATTGAAGATAGATTCAGTTGTTTTATTTGTACATTTTGTAGTATTTTTCTCTTAAAACTTCATGTCACTTTTTGATATCTCACACCGATTGTGAAAACCAACCCTTAGTCGAACCAAATTTTATTTTGTTGTAAAGTCATTTGAATTTTTGATACTTTTTAGTATTGATTGCAATTCTACGTACAAGAATAACCATTCGTGTCTTACGTTAACCATTGCTTATGCGATATATTGTGCAACGCGAATCATTACCCTTCTTATATTTTTTTGTTTTTGTGTCTGACTGTTTCAGATTTGCAGTTTCGCGTCCTCTGAGCTCGAAAGGTTGCGACCGGAGTTCAAGGTAAATTTAGTTATTTTCGTCGTTTTTCCCTTTTAACGTTTGATTACATTTTGGTTGTTGATACTAACGAGTTGTGATTATTACTTTGTTTGAAAGTCACTTAATGATTATAGCTCCGTTGTTTCTGCGGAAGCCCTTTTGGATAAATATTTTCCCAGGCTACGTGTTGGCTTCTCATTTATTTTATTAGAGATTATTTTAAATTCCCAGTTAGATATACTAGATCGATATATTACAGTGTCAGATTTGTGATATTTTGAGATCTTTGTTATTAAACTACCCACATTTATGACATCAAATACTGTTTGTTTTCCCCATAATTGTGTATTCCTTTGAGTTTTGTAAGACGAGAACAAGGATCTCTTGGTCTGCCTTGTTCATCCCTTTAGTATTCCTCTCTCTCTAGATTCATCAAAGGCTAAGTGGCGCCTATCCGGATTACTTTTACTGTTTCCTTCCCTTTTTTTGCTTATTTGTGCGTGTATAGAAGAACCCTATTTTCACCCCGACCCACCTCTACTTTGCCTGAGCTTACCGTGTGCTTATCTAAGGTAATTTTGTCACGTTGGCCCAAAGTGAACGTAACAAAATAGGAGCCTTAAGTCGCAACCCCCATTAAAAAGATTAGCAAATCTATTAATACTGTTATTTTGTACTTATTTGTACCGCGGATACCAAATTTTGCACCACTACATTTTAATTGTTAGGACCAAATCTACATTGGGGTTGCAATTTAACGCCACAACCCCAAGTATTCACATTCTTAAAAATTTTTGTGCCAGAATTTTGTACTCATTTTGTACTAATTTTCACCGTAAATAAGAACTTTTGTACCACTACCTTTTAAGAACTAGGACCAAATTTACATTGGGGTTGCAACTTAATGCTACGCCCCCAAGTATACAGATTCTTAAAATTTTGTGTGCCATAATTTTGTACTCATTTTGTACTAATTTGCACCGTAACCAAAAAATTTTGTATCATTAGCTTTTAACCGTTACTATCAAATCAATTTTGGAGGTGCAACTTAACGGTACAACCCCGCATGTACAAATTCATACAAATTTTCATGCCATAGTTTTGTACTCTTTTTGTACTAATTTGTGCCGAAAGCAACTAGTTTTGTACCACTACTTTTTAATCGCTAGGACCAAATGTATATACTTGTGGTTGCAACAGACAGACAAATAGACAGACAGATAGACAGACAGACAGGCAAACAGTTAATTACATAGATACTGCGTAACACACGTTTTCCAATGGACTATAAAGATGATGTACCTAATATAGGTATTTAGCTATTTACGAGGGTATTTATTTTCAGTGTAAATTGGTATAAACCTTTTGTTAAGCAGACTTACTTGTTAATTTGCATGTTCAGTACCTATGTACCTACTCTCGATTTTCTCATTTGGTATTTGTAGCGTTTAACGAAGTTGAGGTAACGTTTATGTGCTCGATTTTCCGTCGCCTGTCTATCTGTCTGTCTGATCCATTGAAATCTCGGCCCCTGGGCCAGCTAGAGACTTCGGGTTTTCGTTTATTGATAGCTGCTAATATATGGTCTACATTTGCCCGTTACTCATCACGAGTGGGTTTTGAAACATTTTTATTTATTTATCTTTGAATTTTAAATATTGATCATAATACGTTATTTAATTTGTGTGTACACATTTGAAATTGGAACTGCGAGAAGTGTAATCGGAATCGTGAGCAACAAAATAAGTTACGATGGTATTTTTTACTACCTATTTTAACATTTGGGCTCAGTTGGTCATTGCTGGTTTAAACTGAAGTTAACTTTGGAAGTTAAATTCTGGTTTAAAGAAATGCCAGTGTTTCTTAAATCGCTAAAACACTCGTGTGAAATTAGCAGTCAGAATATAGCAGCCAAAATGCCGAAAACGAACGAACGACCAGTGGCTCGTTTACCATAAAAAACAAATTTGCCAATGCACTCTCGCATAGCAGCCATTTTTCAGCAGCTAAACTAAAATTCATCTTAGATCCCTTTCTATTCGAAAGGAACAACATAAAACAATAAAAAATGGCCGCCACCTTTTGCAAAAGAATTTCACATTTGAATTTAGCCTTAGTATCTTCAAAAAATTGGCATTCGCTTACTGACTCACCTCATAGGGTGAAATCTGCCCCCAAAGTGTAAAAAAATACATATAGAACCCTTAGAAAAAAGGTTTTACATTCTAACATTTATTAGGCTATTCCCATTGACTGATGATTGAATATTAATTAATATCAGCGCGACGACTTGATCGACACGGATGGTTAACTTACCCTATAAGCAGTTTGACAGCTTTATTGGGGTAAATTATTGCCTATGTGAATATGGACAAAAAAAACACGTGTTCTACCAAGACGGAACAAAGACTCTCTATTGAAGAAATGGTTACATTTTCGAAAAAAATTAATACGCCTGCTTTTAATTTTCATTTTACACTTTCCTGGTGGTGATGAAAAGGAAAACGAAAGTGAAAATATAAATTTACCGAAAATGATGAAATTATAGCGCCCAGTGAAGCACAATCCAATTCAATATTTATTTTTGATGACATAGCGTGCGATAAACAAAACAAGATAAGAGATTACTTTTGTATGGGTCGTCATAAGAATGTGGATTCGTTCTATCTTTGTCAAACTTATACACGTATACCTAAACACCTGATAAGAGATAATGCAAATCTGTTGGTCTTATTTAAACAAGATGATTTAAATTTACAGCACATCTATCGGGATCATGTGAATACTGATATGACTTTTGCTAAATTTTATGAACTATGCGCGAAATGTTGGTCTTCGGGACCATATTCATTTCTGGTAATTAATAAAGACTGTGAAATAAACAAAGGTCGATATCGAAAGGGGTTTGATGAATTCATATATCTATAAATATTAATGTGGTTTACAGTCATTCCTTAACTTAAAGCGTTTGAGTAATGAACACTAAAGAACTACATCATAAACGTCTTAAACTTGTTGCTGTGCGTAACACCATTCGAGAAAAATTGAAACTTCTTAAGAAGGGAAAAATGATCAGCGAAGAGTTTATTGGAGAGAGATATAAACCTGTAATAGATCCTTTAAAAGAGATTGCAATGAATGTTACAAAGCTGCCTGACCAGCAAAATTTGTTAAAAATGGAAGACAAAAAACCAATAATTGATCAAGACGAACAGAATAGAGAACTATATTTTGATCGGCTTGAACAGAATAAGAATCAGGATGAACGGGAACATGATGAACAGGCTGTTAGTGCAGATATCCAAGACGATGATGATGAACAGGAAGCTGATATCCATGGTGATGATGAAAAAGCCGATGATCGTGTTGCTGTTATGTTAAACGAATCTAACATTAACACATTTCTACAACAATTTGATAGTCTACCAAGAAAATATGTAGAGTTTATGATTAAAGATACAAAGAAAAGCATTGATACTACATTTGGCATGCATTATGATATAGAGTCAAATAGTTTGAAGATAGGTGATAGTTTGATTAAATTTCAGGGTCCAAATCTGGTGATTAAAAATAAGACCTATCGGGGAACATCCGGATTATATCAACTTTTAGTTATGAACACTCCTGATCCCAATACAATTGCACAAAGCGATGAGAAAAATTATCGTGAAATTTTGGATAAGACATTTGCAAATAGACGCGGTCATACTGTCGATGGTCAGCTTAAAGGGAGCAAATCCTATAAATATAAACGCTACGTTAAATATGTATCCCCATCATCATCATCATCATCTTATTCAAACAAAACGGGTAGAGGATTGCCTTTATTTAAACAAGTTGTAACACATACGTCACATAGATATTGGAATGATGTGCATGAATTAATAGATGAACTTCAAGTGAAATGGGGCGAAAAGGAAGCAGGACATACAGGACATCGTAATGATATAATTTCAATTATTGAAGAATTATACGAGGCAGGTTATATAAAAAATCCGTTTAGTAACTACAATTTTTTAAACCGGATATAAATAGCATTGCTTTGTGAATCAAATGTCAGTTTTAACAGCGATGAGCATCGATAAGTTTGGACGGTATTCATATTCACCATCATTAAACATCACTGGAAGCTCTTTTAGGGGGCAAACCGGTAACGGTTTTAATCTGACTGAAGATGGTGATTTTGACATTGACAATAAAAAATTATCCAATGTTGCGCAGGCTGAACATTATACGGACGCTGTAATTAAAGGTCAAACCTTAACACTAAATAATGATTATTTTGATGTACAAGACAAACGGCTTGTTAATTTGGCTGGCCCTCAGGAAGATAACGATGGAATTAATAGAACATTCCTAGAACATGAAATTGACGAGTTAAAGAAATATTTTGATTATGTTATTAAGAACAAAATTGATGAATTACAAATAAATAAAAATTCTCTACATCAAGGTATTACAGATGAAATTGCAGAATTAAGGAAATCACTAACACAACAAAATAACAAAGTGTATATTGATTTTGAGATCAAAAAAATATTGGCCGAGCACTTTGAGCAAAAAGATTTAGATCTTGAAAAGAAAATAAAGCGTATATATGCCGACATGGGTGTGATTGCTAGAGATATTGAAAATCTTGAAACAAAAAATATTCCGATGACGCGGTTATAAATTGTTGCGAACGTTGAAAATAATCATATAGTGCCCAGTAACAGATATGTCTCTAACGCCTAAAGAGCAAGTTATAAATGAATTGTTTAAGCCTGCTCGAAAAAATTTTCCTCGAAGGTACACAACGATCAAGGGATACGATGATTTATGGCAAGCTGATTTAGCCGAATTTGGTGCATATGCAAAGGAGAACCGAGGCTATAAATACATTTTGGTTGTAATCGATGCATTTTCAAAATTTGTATGGACAAAGTCACTTAAATCTAAAACGGGCGATGAAGTTGCGCAGTCCTTTCAACAAATTCTCAAAAATTCTAATCGATCACCAACAAATTTACAAACTGATAATGGAAAAGAATTTTACAATAACAAATTTGAGTGTTTAATGAATCAAAATAAAATAAATCATTATTCTGTATATAGTGTGCAAAAAGCGTCAATGGCAGAACGTATGATTCGCACTCTAAAGAGTAAAATATTTAAAAATTTTCATTTACATGGTGAATACAAATGGATGAATAAATTAGATGAAGTCACCAAAGAGTATAACAACACAAAACACCATACAACTGGAATGCGACCTGTTGCAGTCAGTCCACAAACGAAATTGAAGGTTTACGAGCATATAAAAATATTTGGCAAGCAACATTTAAAAATTGGCGATGTTGTTCGAATTAGTAAATTTAAAAATATTTTCGAAAAAGGGTATACGCCAAATTGGTCTACAGAACTCTTCAAGATTATCAACATTAGAGTAAGCAATCCAGTGCATTATTTACTGGAAGACATGCATGGGAAGCCAATAGCGGGAGGATTCTATGAATATGAGCTACAGAAGACTAAGAATCATGATGTATATCTCATTGAAAAGGTTTTGAAGAAACGTGGCAATGAAATTTATGTGACGTGGTTAGGTTTAGATAAATCTCATAATCAATGGATTAATAAAAACAACGTAATGTAATTATTTACATTCAAATAAATTTATTTATTAAATATTAAACAAATGGTTTGATTATACAATAACATTATCATAAACTAAAACTACCTAGACATATATCCCCATGCCTTTGTATCAGTAATTCTAGAACTGATTATCCGCTTATCATCGTGAGAGCTTAAAACTAGCTTATTTTGCTTGATTGTGTATACATCATGTTTTTTGGAAATAATTAAGTATTGGAATCGGTTGTTATTACAGTTGAACAATACATCCTTATAATCATCAATTGTAATGGTATTCATTGCAGATTCATAGTCTTATAAAAAAATTTATATCAAATTCGTTTTTCGATCTCTGTCTCATTATTGTATTCAAATCAATATATTTTTTTAACCATTGTGATTGTTTGAATCGTAACACCTTATGCACTTTGATTAATTGTAATCCGCATTGCAAATACATTTTTAAATTTCTATAATGTATAATGTAGTTTCGTTTTGAATATAACGTTAACATTAATTTGTTCTCTTTCGACTGGGACTGAGGAGGAATCATATGTTCTGGAGCTAAAGGTAGATCACTATGCAAATCATGCAGTTGTTGGGGGTAATCAAAATCGCATTCTAAAATATATCCTATATCGGAATGATCAGGATGTGTAATTATATCGTTAATATTAAAATCATTTAAAAATTGGAATTCATCATATGGCAAATATTGAGACATCCCTGCGCCATATAAATTGTTTACGTCATAATACATTAAATATGGTATTTCAGCGTTTGAATTATATTTTTCCCCCATATACATATTATTTTCTTTACCATATCTATTGGAACATTGTGTTATACCACCTCTAATTCCACGTTCTATGAACATGACTTGATCAATATCAGTTAGAAGTTTCAGCTTAACGTCTGTAATTTTCAACATTGCATCAAACGCTAAACCAGGGGCTGTATAGTAGTGACATGGATCCAATTTGTATGTTTCCAAACAAGTGTGTCTAAAGTTTTCAAATATATCCGATAGAAGTAAAACATCTGTTTTTAAATATAAATCTGAATATTCACCTAAATTTCTAATATTGAATGCACTCCAAACTTGATTAGCATGAGCGTATTCATCGTTACTAATATTCTCATTGTACAAATGACTAAAAAACTTCTCTTTGGATGGTAAAGTGTCATCATTTAATTTTGTCCAACTGTCGACCTATTCGTAGGGAAAATAGTATTTTACATTATTAGCCAGGTAAGTGAGTGTTTTACTGGCGATAGGAGAAGTTGACTGGCGAGCCGTCAGGCGAGCCTGTCATCTCCTAGAGCCAGTAAAAACTATTACCTGGCGTATAATGTACAATATTTTATTTGTTACTCATTTGTAAACAATAGTAAACGTAAATAATTAGTTCTTAAATTGATCTCAAAGAAATGTCTAAAATATCATATTATCCATGTAACAGAGACTTCGCATTAAATCTGGCCAATGAAATTACTAGATTACTAACTTGTAAAATTTTTACACGTCAGCTGTCAGTTTTACAAGTCAGTAGCGTTTAAAGATGACGTTTACTCGTTTGCGTTTTGTCTTGTTAATCAACGTTTACAACTGAGTAACAAATAAACACCTTTCCTAGTTAATAACTGAAATTCAAGGTCATTCTTACAGTAAAACCTTGTTATTGTTTTTTTATTATCTTCCAAATACGAAGACAACTTATCAATGCTAGGTACTGCTCAAAAATCTAAACGAATCGATAAATCTAAATTTAATCTTGGTGTTGGATACGTATTTGCTAAATGAAATGTATCTTTCTTTGTTTAATGGTAATAAAGTAATATGACCAGGGAAATCTACTATCAAACTTTTAATTATAAAATGTGCGTCATATCCTGTTAGATTGTGGAATATAACAGGTATCACCGATGAATCTTTATAATTAATGTTGCAGAAATCATGTGCCGGACCGTTATAATTTCCGCTTTGATGACAATGATCCCTCACTTTTACGTCGTTCTGTGAAAAAGCTTTATTGCAAATGTGGCATACAGTAGCAGAATGAAAATTATCGATTTCTGTTTGAGTTAAATTTCTCAATGGCACCACTTTATTTAATATCTGCATGGTATGATTAGCAATATTGATCAACTCCGAACTAAACCATTCAATACAGTTTTTCCCTCTATATAAATTAAATTTTGATTGAGAATCATCATAACTACATTATAAATAATAAGCAATGCTAAAAGGGGTATGTTTTTGAATATATTCTGTACTGTTTTGCGCTTCTCGATCACATTTTCCCAAAATGCATTCTAAATCAGCATAAATAACAAAAGGTACTTTTTTTTGGTATGAGAAATGTTTAAAGTGAAGATATTCATCGTTGCCATTTGGTAAAGTTACTTGGCTCGAATTTAACTGGTTGCAGTAACGAGCATGCTTTGTAAGACTGAAAGTAGAGGTAAAGTTATTTAGACACCTATGACAAACCATAAGTGCACCATTATGACGAGACTGCTGCTTGGAAAATAGTGCAGACATATTTTTTATCCATGAAAAATGATAGAAAGATATTCCATTTTTGATACCAACAAAAATCGCTAGTAAATTTATAGGCTCTCTATTACATGTAACATTTTCACTTAATAAAAATGGAAGCACTTTATTGTCATCTACACAATAAACGTTAATTGATAAATTATTTAATTTTTCAAATTTTTTTATGTCACAAAATTTAATAGGAAAATCTATTGTATCATAATTTAATACAGTGCTAAAATGGGGATAGTTGCTTGTTCTTTGCGCGTTTCTTGATATTTTATACATAGCTGCCATTATAGAGCAAAGGAAACAATATTGATCATCATTTTGCACATTATTTACCGCATGTTTTGTAGCTATAAATTTTGGAAGTTCAACATATGTTGAAAATCATCCACCATTCAACGGTATATACGAATTAGCATTTATTTTGAAATATAGCACTTCATGTAACGCAAACCCAGAATTTTTACCTGCAAATTCACTCAATTTAGCTTCCAATTTATCTAGCACATTATCTTGGTACCATTGTTTAAGATTAACTCCAGAATCAATTGTAGCATTTCGTGTTGCAAACGTTTTTAAAGCTATCTCTAACGATTTTGGTTGAACAAAATTGCATGCTAGATAAGTATTGACCTTCAGCATTGATTTTTTTTAGCAAGAGTTTAATTTTTCTTGCAAAACTATAGTATGCATTGCGTAGAAAATCTATGGGATCCTTTATATCCAAATTTGCAATAATACCTGTTAACAACCTATTCCTAAAACTACTTTCGATAGTTTTCCATACTAATTTACGTGTACTATTAATATTACTATTCATGCGTTTCATGCCTGAGCCTTTTTTTAATAAATTGATTTTCATGGTTTTAAATTTTGATAAATAACACTTTAAAATTGCTAAATTGTTTCCCAGCATACTTGCGTTTTCATTCGGGAATGCATGCTTTTCCTTAATTGTCCTCTCAATAGTAAAGGGGCTGCACGGGTTCTAGCACAACTTCCGGCCAAATTACATGTAATTTCCCATAAGGAATTCTAAGGTTCGTTTGGGCTTTTTTTGAGCACTTCTGGTCAGTGCGCATGCGCGCCCCGCCCCTTTGCGCAGGCGTCATTTGGACACCATCTTTGCGCAGGCGTCATTTGGACGCTATCTTGGAATCCTCAAGTTCTTGGTATCCTCAAGTTCTTGGTATCCTTAAGTTCTTGGAATCCTCAAGTTCTTGGACGCCATCTTGGAATCCTCAAGTTCTTGGTATCCTCAAGTTCTTGGAATCCTCAAGTTCTTGGACGCCATCTTGGTATCCTCAAGTTCTTGGACGCCATCTTGGAATCCTCAAACTTCGACCCCTTCGTACCCTGAAAAATTTTTTTAAATGGAACGGATTCGAACCGTCAACCATTGGATTACAAGTCCTATAGCATAACCACTGAGCTAATTAGACTATTATGGTATAATGCTTGGATAGTTGTATTTATATGGAACCTATTTTAAATGGAACGGATTCGAACCGGGATTACAAGTCCTATAGCATAACATGAGCTAATTAGACTATTATGGTATAATGCTTGGATCGTATCTATGCATATATAGAGGTATATTTTCAACCGGCTCCCTCTATTAGATTGATGCGACATCAAACGGTTAGATATGAGGGTTCAGGAGAGAGATGCAAGGGGGGAGAATTCTAACCTATAATTCCATCTCGGAGGTAGCTCCCCCATTTGAGAGACATACACAAGGGGGCCTCATTCTAACCTATAACCAGAACAGGGGTGGGTAGGGAAATAAAACAACAAAAACAAAATGTAGGGCGTTTTTATTTAGAGCTGAAATAGCGATTTGATACGGAGGCGCCATCTATTGGCGTCGTAATGCATATAGAGGTATATTTTCATCCGACTCCCTCTATTAGATTGATGCGACTAGGGTAGGAAATTGTAATTTCAGGAGACAGGTGCGAGGACCCTCATTCTTACCTATAATTCCATCTCGGAGGTAGGTTCCCTATAACTAGAACAGGAGTGGGCAGGGAAAAAACAACAAACAAAATGTAGGGTGTTTTTATTTAGAGCTGAAATAGTGATTTGAAGTTTATTATTACAATTAAAGCGCTTACTTACATAAAATTAGCGGCGAAGAGGACCGATGGCGGCAACGCCTCCATTTTTCGAATGACAGCATTGTTATTCATACCTAACTGTAAATTCTCCATTTGGTCGAGGCCGTTCTACAAATAGACTCTTAAAATGCAAAATATGTCTTAGCGGAATATTTACCAGGATTTTAAGGTGGTTGAAGCTGCCGTTGAAGCTACGTGCGGTGCGATGTGGAGTCATGGTGTTTTTTATAGAAAGAAAATAACCGCGTTTGGACGGGATGCTGCAATCTTACTATAATGCGATAGTGTTTAATTATAGCATCAGCTTTTGATGGTAGGGGCGGTAGGGGGACCGTATGAGTTATTTCATAGGAACGATAGCTACCTCAGTAGCTCCAGGTTTATAGTTCGTGGGAATTTTCCATGGTTAGGGACCAAGACGTATGAACTACTCCGTAGTTTTATGTAGTACCCTGTTGGGTGGGTTTAAGACGTTAAAGTTATCCTCCTAATTTTATAAAGAGAAAAAAATAGCAGCACGCGCGGATTTCATTATTCATTTGGTATGGGAAGTTGCAATCTTGCGATAGTGTTTATTTATAGCGAATAATGTGATAAGGTACTTTTTATACCATTTCATTTCCATATTAGTACCGGTACCTATGGAGGTTTTTATTGTGTCTGAATGCGTAAAGTTCGAAAATCTCCCTTGATTGGAAATGTGTATATCTTTACGGAAGTACGTTCTGTATAAATTCGACGTTCCGCAACATTTAAAACGTGGGACAATTATGGAGCATCAGCAATCTGATTTCAATAAGTGCATGTGGGTATACAGACAGGCGCCTTCTTATATACCTCGGGTAAGTGATCTTGTCTTCGCCCTTTTAGTTGCTTATAATTTACTTTTCTTAGGGATACGTGTCCTTGCGCGCATAATTTGCAGTTTAATGAAAAGCATGACATTTTATTGTATATGGAACCCTTCTTTGCCGATTATTTTATATGGGCGTTTATAAGTAATAAGCCGACCGCAGAAAACATAGTCTACATCAGAGTTGGACCGTGAGTATCAAAATTATTTTGTAATAAAAAGTCTACATTGATATCTTTTTTAGCCGATATCAAACCTCAATGGAGGATTGCCTTCATCATCATCATGGTTAAACGGTCGCAAGCGCCGTAGCTTTATTATTATAATACCTATAATATCTTAGATTTATTGATGGGAAGTAGGTAGAGGATAATGCCGTTGCGATAAATAAGATAACATTGTGAATATTATGTATTACACCAACTTTAGCTATATCTATATTAAGAAAAGGCTTATCATATAACCTTCATATCGATGTGTTATTAATTCCTGCAATCAAAGTGCTAGGATATGAATTTTTATTACTCTAGTTAGAATAGTGCTGTTATATAAACTCTCACAAATTTTGATAATTTTTCTTGGATTTAAGTTTATATGGTGATAATACCCGTGCTAAGGCAGACTTCTTAATCCCAAACAGGATAGAGATGGACGTTGGGTGGGAGGAGGTGCCTCAAGACTTGTTTACGGGAGAAAGGAAGCTAACTTTATGTACTGTTAATATCTGTGATACGACACGCTTCTTAAATCAAATTGATACACTTGAGCAGTACCTTCATAATACGTGTAAGCGTACGATTTAAAACAGATGTGTTATTAATTCTAGCAATCAAAGTTATAGGATATAAATTTTTTATAGCTCGAGTTAATGTAATGCTATAGATTTCGCTGCTGTTTAAAGTTTCACAAGTTTTCGCAATTTTTCTTGGGAACTAAGTTTATGTGCTGATAATATCTGTGATAAGGCAAGCTTCTTAATTCCAAACTAGGATAGAGATGCTTCTGGCGCCTTAAGACTTTTTACGAGAGAAAGGATAACACCGTATAGCATTATGGATAAATACCTAACCACTGCATCTTACTATTTTAGGTAAGAGCTTAGAACACGGATACAATCATAATCTATGCAGTGGGGCGGATAAGAAAAACAGAACAAAATTTAACAGGTTTATTAATTCTGGAAAAAAAAAATTCATTGAAGTATACATTATAATTGAAATGATAACACTTACATAGAACACCCAATAGGTGTGCTGGAGTTCCAGGTCTTTATAGACCTGGAACCTCTTTCCCTGGAAGAGGGCCTCCTCCACTTTTATGGAGCCGGGGATTGCTCCCCGACCCCGTAAAATCGCAACATGTTCCTAAATAAGAGCTAATTAAAATACGGTATGATGCATGAAAAGTACTTACAGATCCATATTTATGTATGAGATATGTTCGGAGTTCTCGTTCTACAAATATATGGTTAAACGTGTGATAGATATGCGGTGTATTTACCATAGGCCGTCTGCAAAGGCCCAAAGACGATGGCCGCACCTTGAGCTGAAAAATTACATACATTAAGTTTGATGAAAAATAGAAAAGAGCTCATTCTTACCCGCCATCCTCGTAACAAATGCCTATCAAACGATTTCTAGGAGGAGTTTTATTTATTGCTATCCATTTAGACAGGAAACCTGCACAGATTGCACAGCTATGTGACAAACGATGTCATAGGAAGCTTGATACAAAGGGGTATGCAGATAAACACGCAATAAAAATTTACATCCTTCACTCATTATATTCAATATCGCCATACCTGATATTATATAGGTAAAACAGTTGGTACAGGCCGGTGATAGATTTGTATTATTATCGATCAAAGCACCCTATTAGTTTTGAAAATGCGTACGTTGCGGGGGGTTCCCGAAGTCTGAAGACCTTCAAAAATTAGTATGCTCGTAGGTAGTGTATTATTTTAGAAGGAGGTCTACTTTGAAGGTGATACGATAAACTTGAATACATACTTTTCGTTTCATTGACCAATTCCATATACCTTTTGAGTATTACCTCGACCTCGACCTATTCAAAAGCCGGCTGTTTCACTACATCGACTATCGTTATGCCCTGGAGATGAGTAGATTTTAAATTTTGTTATAACTAAAGTTTAACGATACCTATATTCTATTTACTCACGAGCTGCCGCCATTGATAATTTCGTAAAGCGTAGCTGATGAAATAATTAGCTTAAGATTACGACTCAAGGACACCTATATAGTTGCATTGTTTTAATAGGAAAAGTATAAATTCTTTCTAGAAATTTTGCGGGACATAATAGTTAGACTCGAGGATATATAGGTGCAAGACTAACAGGAAACCGTTAGAACTTGTAGGCGTTTAAGCCAAAGGTGTCATATTGATAACAATAGAACCGAAGAAGCGCGTTATCTATAAAATTGCATTGGATGATGTGACCGCTTTATACTGAATAATACTATAATTTTGATTTTACATAATCAGGTATTTGCGTAAAAGTGCTCGCCCGACAAGTATGCATTTTGTTATTTTGGAAATCAATATTCAGTGTTCCTTCGACGACATAATGTCAAGGGAAATCGATGTACAAGTCTTTAAAACAAGAAACGGATTTACCGAAAGAGCTTGCAATTTATAATGGAAAGCAGATGGCTTACAACGTCAAGCTACCTGGCTAATCCATAACCATCACGGAATTAAATGGGAGCATGGTCATACGCCATCCTACATGTTTCCAATTATACTTCGCCAGTTAATATCATCATCAGACCAAGTATACGTTAAAGGAAAAGAAAAAGCCGATTTCATTCAAAAAAACTCTATCGCAAAATGTCACCGAGGTGGAAGAAGAACCAGCTTTACCTAAATTAGAAGCATGTTGCTACTATCATGTACGCTCACTTTGTTGTTGCGCTTTATCTAACGTTTATTATATTTATAATACTCATGTAATTTAGTCATTTTCTAAATAAAACAACCAAATTCAATCATTTTTACTTTATTGCAATTGATACATCTTAATACGATTACATAATATGGGCTCCAAAACAGCTGCAATGCGTTCTATTTTACATTTGAAGCGGTACCTATCTAATGTGACAGTTTCCCACGGACCCTTTCTTGCTTCTCTGTAAGCATAGGACCAAGCTCGCAAGATATAAATTTTATTTTTTTTGTTTCATTGTGTCAAACCATACAAACGAGTCTGAGAATGAGCTTTTTAAGCAAAACTTGCTATTGTACAGCTCTTTTTTCTTCCTTCTGATTTTCTTCTTCACATTACTCTTTCTTTTATTCCGTTCCACACTTTCCTCTTCATCGCTTATATCTCGATATTACCATTTCTTCAATTCGTTTACATATTCTTCTCATGTACGGAGCTACTTAATTGATATCAGTATTGCTACAGTAAACGACTAACTGTCTCCTTTACGCCTTAAAACTTTCTCGGATGAGCTGTTTTCTACATTTCTTCAGCATCGAAGTGACCCATTATAGGTTCTCCTAAATGATCTTCAAGGTATATAGGATTACCAACCTTTAGCGACTTTAACAGTTTCGTAGATTAATTTGAAGTGTAGTCTCTTGCAAAAATTATCAGCCTCACTATAAATGTTTTCTATACCATTATCTACGGAGAACTTAGCCCTTTGTTACATATACGACCTTAGGTAATCTATATGTAGGGGAAATTTGCAATGTTTTAACCCAAATAGGTCCCGATATTTTCTTTATTATCTCAGGTAAAATATACTGTTCAAACCAGCCAGTCGTATGATCGTATCCAATTTCGTCACTTTCATATTCAAATTTCCCGCCGTTCTTGTTTTCCCAAACAATCTTCACTTTAAGTTTATCAAGAATTTGCGGTATTCTGCGTCGACATCTATCATCTTCACACATATACAGTTCTTTTCTGAATAATCTGCACAACACCTCTTTAATTTCTTTTCGCTCGGTAACGTAGACAGGGACAGGTTGAGGCTTTTTGGGAGGATTTTTAATCGAATCCTCGAGAATTTGCAGCATCATGTTAAAGATTCGTTCTTCTCTCTCGCCATAATTTTCCTGATAGCATTGTTGACAACAAGTTTCAAAGTCATAGTACTTTATCCCCTTTCTGTCTTTTCTTAAAGTACTTCCAACGCGGTATCCTTCTCTCTCGCAGCAAATTTCACATTTTTCCTTTAGCTCAGGTCGACAGTCGCTACAGTTACAAGGTCTTCCCCAATTACACGCTTTAGACATCGTTGAAGGGCTGCTCTTCTCGACAACACAACACCAAATGGTTTCTGTCCTCTGTTCTGAACCCCTTTATGCCTTTACGGAAAAGCAAGCTATGGGAATTAAAAGGATCACACCTCCTTTAGGTCAGTTAGCAAACCCCGCTGGAACAGTTGGCAAAGCCGTTAGATCAGATAGGTAGAGCCCTTGGATCAGTTGAAAAAGCCGTTGGACCGCTTTCGAACTGCTTTGAACCGCTTTCGAACTGCTTTGAACCGTCTCTGAACCGATGTTGACCCGCTTTAGAACTGCTTTGAATCGGTTTTGGACAGCTGGGGACCGCTATGAACCGCCTCTGAACCGCTTTCGAACTGCTTTGAACCGTCTCTGAACCGCTTTCGAACTGCTTTGAACCGGTTTTGAACCGCCTCTGAACCGCTTTCGAACTGCTTTGAACCGCTTCTGAACCGCTTTCGAACTGCTTTGAACCGGTTTTGGACAGCTGTGAACCGTCTCTGAACCGATGTTGACCCGCTATTGAACAGCTTTGAACCGATTTGGTACCGATATGAATAAACAAACCCGTTGAACCTGTTGACAAGCTGATGACAAACCACCTGGACTAATTGGCAAACCCGTTGGACCTGGTAGACAAGGTCATTGTATTAGTTAGCAAGATGATTGATTCCTAGAGGATAAACCTGCTGGTAAGGAGGCTAAGGTTCTTAAATCGCATCATGCTGTTTCCCTCTCCACTACGCTATTGATTCATACCATCTATAAGTTTTTCCTATAATTTAGTCTAACTACAAGAGTGAAGGTGATAACATGTGTAACTGCTGGTCCTGTACATCATCGTCTGATGTTGCGACATCGCCATCATCAACATCATACGGGTATTTAGAAGAGGAATTAGCAGAAATATATTATCAAGCGACAAAGGAAACGTTAATTGGTGCTGTACGATACGTTCTCAGTGATAGTAAGGATATTGAAATAGGTTATAGCACTTGTTTTCATCAGGAACCTGTTTTACGCCTCTCTTGCAAGAGCGAGGGTTGCGGTGTCATATTGACTGTTGAAGATTGGAACAATCTTTTAAAATGGCAGCCCTATACCGAAATACAGCTATATCGATCAAAGAAAACAGAAAAATGTTGGTCTGCTGAAGACCTCATCTATGAAGACGTCAACTATGAAGATTACTATGAACCATTAAGTGACACTTTAGGCTTACTTTATAACTGGAAATTTACCGATGATTCGGATAAAATTATAACCACCATCGATATTCGACAATTTAATCAATCATGCTGCATGCATAGAAACGAGATTGAGGAGTTGTTCAACATGAAATATGCAATAAACTCAAGACTACAACAACTAGGGTCCTATAACTTCGCTACCTTTTACCGGATATTTATCAATAAAATGGTTGACTTGAAAAGAAGTAATAAGGAGACCGCGCCTATCGCTGATGTATACGAAGATGCTAGATACTTAATTAATCAGCTGTGCATAGAAGTATATTTCAGAAAAATGTGTTTAGAGGAAATCTTACATTACAATCCATCAATTATTGCTAATGATGTAATGACGAAGCTTCAGTATGTATAATAAAATTAAAAGTTATAGATCGAGATCATTTTATTATCAAATTTCCCATTCGAACGGGTTTCAGTCGTCAAGTGCGATAAAAACAGGAAAACCTCATTAAAAATAGCTACACAAGGTTTGATGATTGGAAGAGCGGATGCTGTTTCCTATTCCCGCCATTTACGTTTCCTGCTGATTAGCATATCCTGCTGATTAGGATATCCTGTTTACAACAGCGGATGTTAGTTTCCTGTTGACGTGCCCGGACGCTGTTTCCTGCTGATTAGAATTTACCGGATGCTGCTTCCTGCCGATGACCAGATGTTGCTTCCTGTTCCCGC